TAGATAGATAGATAGATAGATAGATAGATAGATAGATAGATAGATAGATAGATAGATAGATAGATAGATAGATAGATAGATAGATAGAAAATAAAAGTGTTAGTGCAGATAGAAAAACGAAAAAGGCAGATCTTCTGGGCGGTGGAGGATATTTAGATTTTAGATTAATTACATTTTATTTTCATTATATTTTATTACAGAACTAAACTGGTAAATCAAGACTAAAGTTTGCTTTTAGATTTGCCCATATTGAGTGTTTAAAACTATAATAAAAAAAAAAGTTTTTAAAGTAAAATTTGCAGTTTTCAGAAATATTTTTTCTAAAACACGATTATTGGATTTTTTTCTGACTTTTTGTAACTTTTGAAGTTTTGTGGAGAAATGAATAACTTTGGTCATAAGAATTCATTTTATGTTGGAGAAAAAAAAATATTTTTCCTTCGGTTTTATTGTTCAAATTGGTATAAAACAGCAAACTATCTAAAATCCATCTGCTTTGGTTATTTAGTTTAGAAAATATATTAAATGTATAAAAACATTTTAACAACTGTGTTTCCACATGTTTTCATTACACTAAAAAAACACTTATTTTTTTTAATTTGTTGCATTTTAAGAAGGTTTTATATTTCTATAAAGCATTTTTTGTACTTTTCAGAAATCTATTGAAAGTTTTTTTTTATCTGGATAAGTAAATTAACATTTAAGCAAATGTTTACCTCAAATGCTAAAAAAGAGAAGGAATCCAACAAAAAATGTTTAGATGTGAATGCATTTTATGTTATGATTAAACTACATAAAATAGACCAAAATATAAAAAAACTTTGACCATAATTATTCAAAATCAGTAAAATATTATTTGTTAAAAGTCTCATTCCTTCTAAGCTATTTTAAGTTTCAAACTAAAAGACAGAAAGTAGACAGACGTTTTAATGATAGGTACATTTCACCAATAAATTGTTATATATATTTTTTAAGGGAATTATTTAAAATTGCATAATAGTAAAAGTCAGGTGAAGCCATCGCTGCCATGATGTTAACGCGTTGAATTTTCATGGTTTAATAGTTATAAAGCTCACACTAATAACATTAGAAGTTCAATAGTAGCTAGAAAACAAAAACTGTAAGGAGCAGAAGACTTTAAAACATTTAAACATCATAACATTTATGTTTCACCGCATTAAATCAGCTCTCAGAACTTCTGCAGAACCATCCATGAATCCTCTTTGTCTTTCCTTATAAAAACTGAGGAAGATTCCATAAATCTCTTCAATATAGAATAAATTTCACGTGTTACCAATAAAAGGAAAGACGATGGAGTCTGTAAATTGGAGCGTCGTTTCCCTTTCCTCTGTATTCCATTTATAAGTCAACCATAGTGCATAATAGTTTCTTTTGTTTACATTGAATTCTATGAATAAATCAAACTGACTAATTGAGAACAACATGTGTTCCGTTATTTCAGATTACCTCTATTTTCAGTAAAACTGAAGTTCCTTTTTTCTTTTTTATAGATTTTTGCCAAGTTTCAGATCATTCCAATATATTGTGAAATCTGTATCCATTTTTGCCTGAAGTCTAATATAATATAAATGAGTGTTGCGCCGATGCCATTTTATGACCCCGATACCAATAAAAGATACTTGGCTGTGCAGTTTCAGCCGACACCATCTGTGTGTAAATATGAAGAACTGCAGACTACTTGGATGTAAAATAATTTCCATCAAAGTTTTGTCATGCTAACCTGACTCCGCCAGATGGATTTGCTCCGCATATCCATCTGGAAACCTTCCGTTGAAGTAATTTTGGGAAGGGGCGAAAATACTGGTTAGCTGATTGGCCTATGTTGGTGATAGACGGGCCAAATAAACCAATCAGATCAACGAAGCATATGACGTACTAACAGAGCGACGACGAAAACACAACCACATTCCAGGCTACTCTTGCCGAAACCAGTCGGGAGAAGAGCAAAAACATCTTTTCCTCTGAGAAAAGCCTCCAGAGCAGTGTTTTGCTCTTCTTTCAGTGAAGAAATACTCTGTAATTCCGATAAAACTTGCTCGATAGCCACGCTAACGCTAGTTTCATCGGCTGAAGCCGCCATGTTCTTTAGACTGAACTGTCGCGCTTCTCGTTGCGTCACACCTCAACCCGCCTCAAAGCCAACGCTGATTGGACGTTCGTTTGGTGAACGGCTCCAAATTTTCTTTAACGGAGAGTCTCCAGACTGATCTGCGAGTGAAACCTTGAAAGCTTGCGAGATCAGGATGGTCTCATGAGGCTAGCGTCAAGCTGCTGCCTACCTTTGTTAAGCAGGAAACAGACTAAAACAAAGTGAATCCAGTAGAACTTTTTACCAGAAATGGGCGACAATAGTTGAATAAACTTCTGGCTCTAAAAATGGTATCGATACCACTATTTCAGTGCTGGATCGGGGCCCCGCCCCATACTGGTATCGGTGCAACACTACTATACATAAATGAAATTAAAACCCAAAACATTCTTTTATATAAGTTAACCCAAAGGTTTCTTCTAAGAGAAGTTAATATAAATGTTTTGAAGCGATCCAGACAGCCCTGACATGAACCGTGTGTGGAGGGAGCAAATGATTAGGGTGATGGTAAGGAGGCCTTCCAACCATGGAGCTCGTCAGAAAAAGATAAAACGATAAATAATTAGATACAGAAAGCAGGTCAGCAGAGAGAAGAAGGGTTTGATTTGATTGCTGCAGAGCCAATTACGATTTTTTTTGTTGAGATTACTGAAAAATATATTTTTACTCTTGAAAATATAATATCAGGGTTACATCTTTTAAAAACTGCTAATCCTTTCTTACTGCTTTCATCTTTTGAGAGACCAGATTAGAAACATCAACAAACCATCTGGATAGAAAGAAAAAACGTATTTTTGGCTAAACTCAGCGATGAATTAGAGCATCACTGAAAAGGTTGTTTCATTTTTGCACATCAACTTAAAAAGTGAAACTTCTATAGATTCACAGCGCAACAAAATCTGTCTGAATAATAAACTTTTGTTGCACGTCGGATGTTTGGAGCACGAAGCCTTTTGCCAAAAACCCTTTTACCGTAAAAAGTCTATTTCCTCCTAAATTAAGTTTCATTTAGGAGGGGGGAAAAAAGTAAAACTAGTGAATTGCAAACAGAAAACATCTCCATTCATTTTTTTATATATATTTTTATTCACTTTTAAAAAATTTATTTCAGTTCCCAAACTTTTGGGTTTCTGACTCAGAAAATGGAACCAGAATGAACTCTTGATCCAGATTATTAATTTGACTACAAACAATTAAAAAGAATTCTTTTAACCATAGTTATAACAGTAATTTTAAGTGATGCATCCTCATCACATAAAAAAAAAAGCGTCTCACCTGGGCTAAGGAA